CCCATCAAGGCCAAGAAGGACCCTTCCCCAGGAGACACGGACGAAGAGAACTTTCAAAAGTTAATGGGGTCAGGCTTCCAAATCAACAATTGGGATTACCCTGAGCCAGTTCTGGTCAATGGGGGAATCAGCCGAGCTACCATTGATCCCGAGAAGCCCCCCTTCTTTTTCACTAGACTTAAGAAGCCTTGAAACTTTTTTTTCTTAGCCTTCTCTTTACTTCAGCTATTATAAATAATAATGTTTGCTCCTTGTACAGTAGTTAAAATATCCGATATCATCAGTTCTGGCTCGGCAGAGGTGGCCAAGAGGCCGAAGAGAAAGAACTCGGGTGAGACATCTGTACCGCCACCGAAAAAGAAGGTAACACAAGCGCCAGTGACCAAGACCACGGTGGCCGAAAGCACCTCGGCCACGACAGCTAAAAGCAGTTCGGCCGTGGCAGCTATGAAGTCCAGCTCATCAGCACCAGAAGGGGTGGCAACACAAGGAGCCACCGTTGCTTTACCTCCTCATGGCCGAGGCAAGCAGTTGAAATCCTCGGTCATGCCGGTCACGGGGTCTTCGTTGTGGAACCGTTTCCATAGCGTACCTCGATTTTTCGGGAAAAACAAAACGCACCTCGGCGAGCACTGGTGTCCGAAGTGACAGCTTTCAATCAATGACCGGTGCACCCAATCTCGTGCAGCCCAGGAATTTGTTATGTTCTCCAACTTGCCGAAGAATGCGGAGTTTATAGAAAAGCTGAGTCCTAAAGAGGTGATCCAGAGCCTCATGGTAGCAACAGCTTCCTCTACGACTTTTGTTGCTGAGATGTCACGCTGGTACAGCGACCTGCTCGAGGAGCAAGATTCCGGCAAGATACAAGATAAAATAGAGAAACTGGAGAAGAAGCTGGCAGTATCGAAATCCACGAAGACCGAGCTTCACAGCCAGCTACAGCAGGTTGAAGCGAAGGAGGAGGAGGCCGAAACTACCATAAATAACCTCAGATCGGCTCTCGAAGAGGAGCAAAAGAGGGGGAAAATTGAAGATGTCCCACCAACAGGCACTAGAGGGTGCCGGGGCCTCGGTTGCGGAGGCTTTTAGGAGGTCTAAAACCTTCACCAAGGACCTCGGGGAGCTGACCCTGCCAAGCTATATGTTCGACTACACCTCTACTATTGACGAGGTCGCTCCTCACCTTTCCGCTGAAGACTTGGATTTCTTCAGGAGTAAGGCCAACTACAACGAGAACTCTAAGGAGCTGTGCGACCGGATGGCTGAAAGCATCCAAGCTGGATGAAACTTGGCCGAGGTCTGGGACGAATTCAACAGATGACTATATGTGATTAACCAAGAGCTTGAGGAGGGAAAGGATGCCGAAGAGAGTGAGGTCGGAGGAAGTGAAGCTACCGACGAGGGTGAGGTCGGCGGGGGGAATGGTGAGAAGGAATCCAAAGTGTAGAATGCTTAGAAGCTTTCTTAACTTCTGCTCATTTTGTAAACAAATTTCCTTGTAGTGTTTTCTTCTTTGCAGTATCTAATGAAATGAATGGGAGCTCGGTTCTCTTTTTCTTTTTCACTTCGTCCCTTGTCTGTCCTCCTTATCTTTTTAATAAACAGCAACAGATACTAGAATATTAAAAGGTAACTAAGTGATTGAATAACCGACAAGTCATTACACTTTTCAAAGATAATACAGCCTTAAGTTATCGGCATGCCAAGTTCTCGGCATTAGAGAACCATCTCGATAGGTTAATTTACAATACCCACTTAGGGTAGATTCCACAACTCGGTAAGGACCCTCCCATTTTAGGGCCAATTTCCCTTGCGGTTCAGCTCGGCTGACCGAGTTTTTCCGGAGAACTAAGTCTTCTGGCCGAAATTGACGATGCTTAACACGGGCATTGTAGTGACGGACCAAGGTGTTCTTGTACGAAACGACGCGTGCTGAGGCGAGATTCCTTTTTTCTTCAAGGAGGTCAAGATACGCCTGCCTTTCTTCTTTGTTTACCTCTGCCGCGTAGGCTGCGATTCGGGGACTAAGTGTAAGGATCTCGGTTGGAATGACCACCTTGGAGCCGTAGGTCAAGAAGAAGGGGGTCTCTTGTGTGGCCGACCTCGGCGTTGTCCGGTAACATCACAAGACATTTGACAGTTCCTCCATCCAAGATGATCCTGCTCGGTGTAGTCGGATTTTTAGACCGTGCAAAAGAGTTTAGTTAAAGTTCTCCGCTTGTCCGTTGGCTTGAGGGTGACCTATCGAAGTGAAATGTTGCTTGATGCCGAGGTTCTCGCACCAAACTTTAAACGGATTCTCAACAAACTACCTCCCATTGTCCGAAATAATCACCCGAGGTATGCCGAAGTGGCAGATTATGCACTTCCAGAAGAATTTTTGGACAGTGAGCCCCGTGATGGTCCTTAACGGCTCGGCCTCGACCTATTTAAAGAAGTAGTCCACAGTGGTCACAAGGAAAGCATATCCTCCGACGGCCTTGGGAAAGGGCACGATAATGTCTGTCCCCCACTGCTCGAACGGCTAGGGTAAAGTGATAAGAACCATGAGATTTGCGGACTGGTGGTGTTCCGGGGCATGAACCTGGTATGAAGGGCAGTCAAGAACAAGGTCTTGAGCATCTTGTCTGATAGTGGGCCAGAAATACCCGAGCAGCAAATCCTTTTTTGCCGGTATCCTATGGCTAACGTGGGCCCACACAGGCCTTCGTGTATTTCTTGAAGAATGTGGTGTCCTTTCTCGGGTGTAATGCATTGCAGCCATGGATCGAGATAGGATCGTTTATACAACTCGCCCTCTCGAAGGGCGTAGCAGGCGGCTTTGCGTTGCACTCTCTTGGCTTCAGCTCGATCTTCAGGGAGAATCTCTTGGCCCAATAATAGGATGAGTGAGCTCATCCATGTGTCTCCCGAGTGCACAAGGCAGGCCACTTCCTCCAGGTACCCCCGCTCGGTCACCACTTCGATAAGAACAGTCTTGTTGAAGGCCGAGAACGAACTGGATGCCAACCGGGATAGGGCGTCGGCTTGTCTATTTTGTGATCGAGATATTCTTTGGATTTGAAATGACTTGAAGTATGCAGTGAGTTGGTGAGCTTTAGAAAGGTACCGTTGCATAGTCTTTTCCTTGACTTCGTATTCACCAAACACTTGGTATATCACGAGTTGGGAGTCACTTTAGACTTGGACCCATCGAGAGCCGAGTTCGCAGGCTAGCCGAAATCCCGCAATTAAAGCCTCATACTTGGCCTCATTATTGGTTGCAAAGAAGTCAAATCGCAGGGCGTACGAACACACTTCTCCATAGGGGTCTTCCAAGAGCAGCCCTGCTCCACTGCCATCACTGTTGGAAGATCCGTCCACATACAGTGTACAGCTTTGAGACTCGGATGGCTCTGAGATGGCGTCTTAACTCACGGAGAACGTGAGCTCAGCTAGAAAATCTGCTAATGCTTGGGCCTTGATCACCGTACGAGATTCGTATGATAAGTCATATTCTCCTAATTCGACAGCCTATTTGGTAAGATGCCCGAAAGTCTCGGGACGCACCAATATCTATCAAATAGGTTGATCAGTTCTGACGGAGATGGGATGAGCCAAAAAGTAAGGCTTCAGCTACCTAGCAACATAGACCAACACTAGCACCAACTTCTCCACTCGAGTGTACCAAATTTCGGGTCCGCAAAGTGTGCGGTTGGCATAATAGACGGGCGTTTGAATACCCTCATCTTGGATTAGTACAACACTGACCGTTTCGTCCGCCGCGGACAAATGAAGTACAACCTCTCTTCAGGGCGAGGTGAGGCAAGAGTGGGAAGGTGATGCATGTATCCCTTCAACTGGTCGAAGGCTTGCTGGCATTTCTCGGTACAGGTAAATTGGTCGGCTTTCTTCAACACCTTAAAAAAGGGCAAAGCCATTTCGGCAGATTGCGAGAGAAAACGGTTCAAGACGACCAGGCGGCCATTCAACCTCTGAACTTCTCGGACATTCCGAGGCGGTGACATGTCCTGAATAGCCTTCACTTTGTCAGGGTTCGCTTCGATACCTCGGTGAGATACTAGGTATCCCAGGAATTTCCCCGAAATAACACCGAAGATGCATTTCTTCAGATTTAGCATCATCCGGAAATCTTGGAGGATGCCAAAAATCTCCTTTATATCTAACAAGAAAGGCGAGGTGGTCCGGCTCTTTAGGAGGATGTCATTCACATAGGCTTTCACATTTCGGTCGATCTGATTTTTGAAGATTCGGTTGACCAGCCTCTAGTAGGTTACCTCAGCGTTCTTGAGTCCGAAAGGCATTATTATGTAACAGTAGACATCTCGGTCAATGCAAAACGCCGTTTTCTCTTGATTCTCTTCGCTCATTCCTATTTGGTGGTATCTCTTGAAGGCGTCTAGGAAGCATAGGATCTCATGTCCCATAGTTGAGTCAACGAGAGCATCTATTCTTGGCAGTGGTCAGCAGTCTTTGAGACATGCCTTATTGAGATCGGTGAAGTCCACGCACATTCTTCACCCACCGGCGTCTTTCTTCACTATCACAAGGTTGGTCAGTCAAGTAGGGTATTGGACTTTTCGGATCATCTTAGCGGGCCAGAGTTTGTCAATTTCGCCGGAAACAGTTTGGCTACACTCTGGGTCGAAGTGCCTCCTCTTTTGTTCCACAGGACAAGCCTGTGGGTTGACGATAAGTCGGTGAACCATAAGTTCGGGGGGCACTCCGACCACTTGCTCAACGGTCCACGCGAAGACGTCCCGGTGCTCTCTTATCAGGCTGATCATTTTTTCCCTGAGGGGCGAGAGGAGACTTGTCCCCACTTGGATCACTTGATCGGGTCTCACCTCGTCGAGAACCACCTCTTCCACCTCTTTCACCTCGTCCCCGGCCTCTAGCCTACCGAATTTATTGACGTCTTGGGGGTCGATGCAGCCTATGGAGAGGACGTCCGGCCTTTTTCCCTCAGTCTTTGATTCAGCTCGAGGGGTGATCGTGGCCTATATGGTGGTGAGATAGCACTCCTTAGCCATGTTCACATCGCTGCTCACCTCGACCACCCCAGCAGGTGTTGGAAACTTGAAACTCAGGTGGTAGGTGGAGTACACTGTCCTTAGAGCATTGAGTGTGGGCTGACCGATCAACATGTTGTATAAGGAGTCGATTTTGACTACGGCAAAACTTACAGGGACGGTCCGGCAGCGGGGATTACGGTCGATGGTCACCATCAGGGAGACCATCCCTTCAGAGTGGACCACGTGTCCCCCAAATCCCATTAGAGGGGTCTTGACAGGAGTGAGTTGCGCTCTGATCAGTTTCAGGCTTTCGAAGGTTCGATAATACAAGACGTCTACTGAACTGCGAGGATCGACATAAACCTTCTTGACTATATAATTATTAGTAAGAACCTCAATCACGAGGGCCTCATGGTTGCTGGAGGCGGCAGGGACGGGGTTGCTGGGACTATAGGTGATCACCTTGGACAGCCTAGAGTTCGGCTCAACCGTCTCCATGCCGACTTGACGATAGATTCGTTTCCGGGAGTTCTGGCTGTCTCCTCCTGTCGGACCACCCGCAATGGTGTTGATGACCCCCGCGATGTTAAGGCTGTAACTCGGGGACCCGTCTCGAGGAGGCCTTTGGTCCTCCCCATGATTCTCAGGCCCACGGCAATGACTCTTCGTGTCGTGCCTATCTTCTCGGCGATGGCCTTGATTTTTCCGATGGGAGGTGTTTCGATTGAAGCCTCCATCCTTGTGGACGAATTGCTTCAAGTATCCCTGCTTGATCAAGTTTTCGATTTCTTTCTTCAAATCGTTATAATCCTCGGTCTCGTGCCCAACATCCTGGTGGTATGCACAGTAGAGGTTGGGGTTTCTCTTATCCCTCTTCCTCAGAATCTCAGGAGGGTCTCGACCGAGGTGATTTTGTCTCATTACAGCCAGAATGTGAGACTGGCTGGAGTTGAGAGATGTTACCTTGGCGTCTGAGGTGGACGACCTCCCCTTCGCAATTCTTTCAAAAACACTTCGGTGATCTCGGAATGGGTTGGACGAGTCGCTGGGGCCCTGTTTGACTTAGCTTGCTTCTTTCTTCCTTCGAGAGTCTTGCCCAGTACGGGCTGCTTGGGCTTCCCGTTTCATTCGATTCAGGTCTTCATTTCGGATACCTCGATCCACCTTTTCCCAGAGTTCTCGAAGTGTCCGCAGGTAGTCCCGATGAATTTCGATGTAGAACGTTCTCGCAATCAATCCATTGGTGAAGGCAGCTATAGTTACCTACTCATTTTGGTCAGGTATCTACACGTTCTCTTCATTAAACCTCTGCACGTATAAATGCACAGACTCCCTGGGAGCCTGCTGTATGTTCAGTGGGTAGGCCGAGATTTTCGTAACGGGGTGAGACGACATGAAATGGTGGATGAACTTTTTCACCAACTCGTCCAGCGAGAAAATGCTCCTAGGTTCCAAGCTCCAGAATCATTTTCGAGCGGTACCCTGCAGGAAAATAGGGAAGGCTCGGCAGATTATTGCGTCGGGGACGTAGTACAGTCGAAATGCTGAGATGAAGGCACGGAAGTGATCCTCGGGATCACTTCGGCCATCGTTAGGTTGTAACACTGGGAGCTTGAAGTTGGGGGGAACCATTTCCCATTAATGTTATCGGTAAAGGGCGGAGCCTTCATATAATCGGCCGCCAACCTCTCGCGTTTTCGAGGGGTGGCCTCAGTTCGCCTTCCCAGTAAGCGCCTGGAGAACGCCCTGGAAATGAACTCGATTTTAGAGGTGGCTTTGGAGGAAACGCATTTAGAGGTGATTTGGGCAGGATGCTTGTTATCGGAGTCTTCTTCGGAGGTCATCTCAAGGGACTTGGCCGACCTCCTTTTGGAAGATTCGACTTTTTCCTTCCTTTGCCGCTTGAAGTACCCCTCGAGTTCCTATAAAATGTTGGGATTTTCTGCTACAAACTTGGCCATCTGGGCGATGGCATCTTCGTTTGTGGGCGGGACCCTTGGGGACCCTTGCTCTTCAGACACATGGTCTTGCTGAGTAGCGAAGCTGGGCTTAGGTCCAGTAGAGGGAACTCTTCTACTCCTAGATCGCGTAGGTCTCATCTGAAGAGTATTACGTTCCCACAGACGGCGTCAATTGAAGAGGTGATTTCTAGTTAGGTAGCCGAACTGACCTAATTCAGCTCCCTCTTTCGATGAAGTGAAAGTAAGAGGTAGGAGTGCTATCTCGAAGTGAGAGGCGGGGCTTTGTCCCTTGGGATCACTCCGACAGTCAAGTCAGTATAGAGAAAGAATAAAAAGTAATGAACAGTACGAGTGCAATAGTAGTCTTACTTGTGAGGAGTGAACATGAGGTATTTATAGAGTGTGAGAGTGGAGGGATGGACAGTGGGTATAAGCTACTGGGTCCTGCTTCCTGAGGATTACGGCTCCGCTCTGCACCTGCGGCCTCTATTCCTGACAGGGGACAGTAGCTCAGGCACTTTGTCAGGTGGTCCCGAATAGGGGTGAGCATCGAATTCGAATTCGGTAGGTTGAAATCGGTAATTTTCGGTAAATGGTTCTGGAAATATTCGACCTAATTCGCATTCGAATTAGAGACTACCGAATTCGAATTCAACCCGAATTCAATTCGGTAAACAAAAAAATTACCGAATTACCGAATTCCAGAAAACTATTGGTTTCTTAACACTCTGCCTCAAACAGGATTCCAGATTTCACTTTGAGGGTTTAGAAAGTGAAGTTTAAGCCGAAGTGTTTGTATAAAACCTCTTCAATTCCTGTAGTATCCGTCTTCCTTAAATATATGAATGCAAGTGAATTCATCAATTTTGATTTAAAAATCCAGAGAAAATTCCTTTCAACTCCAGAAATTCAACCGGAATGTTCCCATGGCTTGTGGATGAGACTTTCTACACTAGTCAATGTAGGAAGGATAAATCAACAAATTGAGCAGCCAAATCAGTCACAAAGCACTAGTGCAGTAGTAGACATGTACTAACGGGGTGAGGACAGCTTGGTGGTGGCGGAAGATTTTCAGGCGCAGCTCCTCAACGAAGGGAGCAACAGAAGGGTCTTTAGAATTGAGCAAGAGGACCTCATGGGCAATGATAATGGCCTTGATCCCAGTAACGTCTAGAGAGAGGGAGAGGAGACAAACCCTAAATCTTGGATCCCAGTAACGTCTAGACCGTCAACAAATTCTCTCAAATTGGCGGCAAAAATCTGTTACAGTGAGTATGGAGACTGGAGAGAACCGGCTGGAGGAGGCTTCTGTAGTTGAGGAGAGGAAAGGAGAAGCTGTCAAACTGAGAAAGTATCTTCAGTTGAGGAGAGAAGAAACTCAGAAACAGGCAAACAGCTTGGCTTAGGCTTCAGTGGGCGACGGCGCAAAGGAACGAGAGGAAGAGGAGAGCAGAAATAGTGAAATTAGAACGAATGCTAATTTAGGGTACTGAAAGTCTGAAATTGGAACATCCGACAAAAGCTTGAGGTATAATATTATTCGGAATTTCGAATTTGAAAACAGTAAAATATTACCGTTTTACCGAATTAAATTCGAATTCGGTAAATCCGAATTCAAAAACCCCAAAACCAAATTCGACCCTAATTCGATTCTTACTAATTCGATACCACCGATTTACCGACCTAATTACCGAATTACCGAATTCGAATTACCAAATTGAAATCGATTTCGGTCGGTAATTCGGTAATTACCGTAATTGCTCACCCCTAGTCCCGAATATTCTCAATAAAGGGTTCTAGGGTTTTCAATTAAAGTGGTGGCCCTTAATGACATGTCAGGCCAGCTGACATCACCTGTGTGCGCCCGAGATACGACGGCCATCTGGGTCATAAAGGCCAAGGCCCACAAGAGGTCGCAGAGACCTAGCCGAGATCTATCTGAGGTGACAGGAAGAACCACGGCCATGGCACCACATCGGATAAGGCAATCCGAAGTGACTGCCTTCATTGGTCAACCAAACGGACCAGTAAATCAGTCATATAATTGATAACTGTAGTTACCCGGTCCCCTTCTTCACCTCTGGGTCCTTGGTCTTGGTTTGCCACAGAACCTTGTTCCTTCTCTTGGGTTCTGGGCCTGCCTAGATCTAGGCCCATGGCTCCGATAACGTTGTCGTTTAGTCTCCATTATTACTCACTGGTTTAGATCCAAGTATTATAACTAACAGGGTAAGCAACTATGGGTATATACCAGATACTCATTCATATTTAAAAGTCAAATAAAATGAAATCAGAGTCACGATAAGTAAGTGATAATGCAAAGCAGTAAAACGCCAATGACGAAACAAAGTCAAAGTCAAAGTTAAGGTCAAAGTCAAAGTCACAGTAGTATACATTCAAAGGCTCATAGCAGTTGTTTACAAGATAACAAGACTAAAAATATCAAGTACTAGCCTTAAAAGTATAGATACAGTCATGCAATCATATCAAGCCGAACCCTAGTGTAAGTAGTCAAAAGAAAGCTATACAACCACCGAATCACCACATCCCCTATCCTTTCTATATACAGTAGTCAAAATCATCCACAATAGTAACCTAATAGTGAAGGCCTAATCCGCGGCGGGGTTGGCTGACCTCGCTCTGGGCGGGTTCAGCTCCTGTGTCATCTCCAATGTGCGAAGCCTCATCGCTCACTTCTCCCAGTAGATCATCACAAATATTCAGGATGGACTCTGCTCTATTCCTCACTTTCCTGGCCCTCTTGACCATGCGCTCTTGAGTTTCTCCAAGCTGTGCACACAGGCCATCAACCCTTTCTCGACCCTTGACAACATCATACTCAAGTTCCTTAATCCACTCGGCTTGCATTTTAATAGTTTCCTTCAGGTAATTCACTTCAACTCCAAGCCTAGAATTGTCCCTCGCTAGGACCTTCCACTCCTTCACAACGGCCAGAACTACTTCATTAGGATAAGTGTAAGCATGCCGACACTCGTAACGCCTATAGCCGTCAGATGGGCTCCAATAGGCTCTAGCTCCACCAGGTCTGATCTGGTATCTAATCATCGGTCAGTCCTCACGGGACGTCTCGCCAACTGGTCTATCACTAGGGCCACTAGATCCGTCCATCCTACACAAAGTGTAGATAAACTTAAGTACTCTTAAGGGAAATAATCAAATATAATCCTCAAATCGAAAATTTCTAACTCGCCCAAGCCAATTCAAATCTAAACTCTGATACCACCTGTGACAGCCCCACCTCTCCCTAGGGTGAATCCTAGGGTATTAGCGGACTGCCTGCCCAACTCTCGCCGGGGCTCGGTCGATCAAAGTACTAATAACTCAATTGAAGGGGATAAAAAATCTTCCAAACACGGAAGTGTAACCCTAATTGAAACATAATCACTATGCCAACCATCCAAAATGGTAGTATATATAACTAAATGTCAACTTACCGCTTCACACTTAACTTACATAGCATAAGTCGAACTTACAAATTCAAGCTTACAACAGTCAAAAGTAAGGACTTCTTAGACAAAGGGTTACAATCTCAAAATACAAGTCCCAAAACAAAGTAAAGCTAAGAAAGCTCTTGATCAAATTCACTCCGATCTGTTAAGAAAAACAAAAGGAATGGGGTGAGCTAACGCCCAGTGAGATTCCAGGTAAACAAGTAACCACATAGTCAAATAAGGTCACAAAATAATCAAATAAACACTGTACAGTAGGATAACAGTTTAATCACAGCTCAATTCAAGGATACGGGTGGCTTTCAAAAGCCAATAACCACTTGAACTTGATCATAACTGGATCCATTGACTCTCCGTCAATGTTTATATTCACAGAATATAAAGTCCGTACAACACCACTTTCACTAATCTCCGTCCACCAATCAACCCCCTACCGAGCCCGCACACCACAAACAGTAGTTTGGTAATACTCGAGTATACCAGGAATTCA